TCCTCTCGGAAACCCGGACCCGACCCCGACCCCCGCCCCCCGCCCCCTCCCCTCCCCTCCCCTCCCCCCCTCCGCCCCTGCCCCCCTGTCAACCCCAGTCGGCTACGTGGTTGTCCAGCTATGTTGACAGACATCGGTTGCAGTGATGGCTGAGATGCCTTCGGCTGTCAGCATCCAGTCGACGGCAGCTTGGATGGTTGCGGCTTGGTGATCGTGGGCGAGGAGCACAAGGGCGATGTCGTGCAGGTGCACAACCTCGCCGTCTCGGTCCGCCTCTAGCTGCATCCATACCCGTGAGGTGTACGGCACAGCGATGATAGACCATGCTCCAGCAGCAGACTCAGTCGCCGGCAGCAGTTGGCTGAGCTCGTCGTCATCCCCAGCGAGGGCCAGAGCCATGATACCCTGCGGGAGTTGCAAGCCGACGACGATGGGCACCCGTGCTCGTGATCCGTCGTTGCCCTCCCTTGCATGCATGCTTGCGTTGGTCACCCACTTTCCCGCAGGTACATACGGCACATAAACCCCAAGGGTCTCCTTAAGACCCTTTGCTACGGTGGCCGCCACGACGAGCTCGGTGTCGTCACCGGCTACCACCACATGGGACGACGGAGCTAGCGTCGCACCGCAGAGTTGTGGAGATCCTCTCATAGGCTTTGCTTCGTCAGACATGAACGCAGATGGAGCAAGATGGAGAGGGGAGGGTGCAGATGTTTGGCGCGGATGATGAGAGGGTGGGAGGGGGGGGGGGGAAGGGTGTGTATGTGGGGGAGGGGGGTTGGAGGAGGGAGCGCACGCATGTCGCAAACGAAGGAAAAGAAGGAAATGGGCAAAAAGGGTCGCAGTTGTTCGGTCTCCGCCACCGGTATTCAGCACCGACATCAGTACAGCGACCAAGCAGAAGACGGAGCAGACCGAGGCTAGACCACACGACGAGGCCAGAAGCGGAACATCATGGAGAGCGGCAAGAGTGGTATGATACAGCTGAACGACGGGCATAGCATTCCTGCGGTGGGACTGGGCGTGTACCTGGTGGAGGGACAGGACGGAATCGATGCGGTGGCCCATGCACTGCGGGTCGGCTACCGGCACATCGACACGGCGCAGCTGTACGGGAATGAGGCCGAGGTGGCGGCAGGCATTGCGGCGTCTGGGGTGCCGCGGGAGGAGGTGTTTATCACCTCTAAGATCTGGAACGACAACCATGGATACGACAAGGCGACGGCGTCGGTCCGCGAGAGCCTCCGCAAGCTCAACACCGAGTACATCGACCTGATGCTCATCCACTCGCCGCTCTCCGAGCCCGAGTCCCGGAAGGAGACCTGGCGGGCGCTGATCGACCTGCAGAAGGAGGGCGTGGTTCGGTCGATTGGCGTCTCCAACTACGGCGTCCATCATCTCGACGAGCTGCTCGCGGCCTTTGACGTTGTGCCGGCAGTCAACCAGCTCGAGCTCCATCCGTACTTGCAGCGGACCGAGCTTGTTGAGTACTGCAAGAGCAAGGGCATTGTGCTGCAAGCGTACTCGCCGCTCTGCAAGGGCTTCAAGTTTGCCGATCCGGACGCGGTTGCGCTCGCCGAGCCATACGCCGAGTCGGGCAAGACGCTCGCACACTTGCTCCTCAAGTGGGGCCTGGACCAGGGCTACGTCGTCCTTCCGAAGTCGGTTACGCCGTCGCGGATCGAGGCCAACATCGATCTCTTTGATTTTGAGCTGCTTCAGGCGACCAAGGACGCGTTCGCAGCGGCCGACGAGGGCTTTGTGACGGGGTGGGACCCGACTGAGGAGCCATAAGGTACTCTGGCCTAGCATGTATTAAAACACTACATGGCGTTGTACCTCGGCGACGACGTGCTCTCGTCGGTGTCGACTGGATCGGCGCTGACAAACGTCGAGCTGACAACAATCGACGACTCGCTCCAGGTGATACGTGTGCGGGTCGGGTCGTTGGCGTCCGCCTCGACAGTGGGCACAACCACCTCCCACATCTTGCTTGGCAGGATGATTGACTGGGCGTAAGCTGCAGGGGCTCGGCCGTAGGGATCGGACAAGCGGAGAATAACCCGGTCGACGCGCCAGCGCGGATGCATGTGCATGCCGGGCATCGGTTCGATGGCCTTGATGTAGACAAGGCGGAGGGCGGTGGGAGACGGTAGGAAGGCAAAGGTGCCCGGATGGAGCATGCCGGTCGAGACCAGCTCCCATCCGCCGGTCAGCCTCTTGCGGAGCATGTGCTTGAGAGGGGAGGTGAGGGTGATGCTGCGGGTGATGTCGCACGCGCCGACGGCGTCAAAATGAGTCAGCCTGGGCGCGTAGTGGCGCAGGAGGTACAGGATCAGGGGCATCTGCTCCTGGCGGTTGCGGAGCGCCGAGACGTCGACGTCGGTCACATTCGGGCAGGCGAGGAGGGAACAGAGGAGGCCAAGAGCAGTAATCCAGGTCTGCGCAAAGTAGAGCTTAGTGACGCCAGTGCGGGCACTGGCCGGCAGCTGCGTCAGCAGATCGAGTAGCTCCCAGTCGCCCTGGTTGGGATGAGTGAGGGTGAGCGTCCGCCACAGCGAGGCGTCGCCACAAACCCGCTGCATTTGGCCGCATGTCTGCATCAGTGCAAGCCGCGACGGCTGGTCCAAGTACGAGCAGATGGCAAGCAAAAGCTCGTCCGGCAGGCTCACCAGCCACATCTCGGCCGGGTCAGCAGGCGGGAGGTCATCGAGCGGCTTGCCGAGCGCCAGAACTTTGGCCATCCGCATCGCGTCGTGGCCGGCCATGAGCGCCACGCACCCGCGCGACTTGCCGACCACCATGGCACAAGCGGGCGAAATCCACTTCTGATCCATGGTGGAGTTGGGATCGTTTGAGCGGACCACAATGACCGCAGCCGGGCCCAGCGCATCAGACTCGCCACCACCGTCGCCCGGCTCGTTGGCCAGACTCGGGTGCCAGCCCGATGGCGCGGCGAGCGAGTCCAGTAGAGCCATCAGTTCTTCATCGTTGTGAAAGCGCTTGAGGAGGACAAGACGATCAGCGATATGATGATGATCAATGACCTCATCATGCTCGCCATCAACAGAGTCCGAGACCGTCTCCCGATCCGAGTCATCGATGACAGCATGAGCGACATGGCCTTGGCCTTGAGCACCCGTAGAAGTGCTGCTGTCTCCTCGGGCAGCTCAGCAGGTCCATAAAGAATGGCTGTCGAGTCAAGTTGCCATCGGTAGAGGTTTGGTGGTGAAGTTGCGTATGCAGCCATGGCCGGCGAAGTTGGCGTGGAGTGGGGTGTGGCGGGTGTGCGTGTGCGTGTGCGTGTGCGTGTGTGGGGGGGTGACCGACATTCGGTCACAGGCACAATGACCGATGACCGATGGCCGATGACCTCCGAGGGTGGTCGGTTTAATCATGAGAGGAGGTGTACCACGAAGGGGGAGGTGATGGTGATCGAGATGGAGATGGGGGACAGCAGGCCGGGGTTGGGCTCGCCGATGGGGTTGATCAGGCCGGAAGTGAGCGGATGGGATGTGGCTTTCGTAGCAAGTGATGGTGGCGGGGTGGCCAGTAGAGACGATATACATCGTATGTGAGATTGTGGCTCGGGCCATGGGGGCAAGCCATCATTTGTCAAGTAGCTCATGATTGCGATGAGGAGGATGCAGATGGATGAGTGCGAGCAGCGGGAGGATCTGAAGCAGGCGATGCAGCAGCCGAGGCGCCAGTGGAAGCGGGATCCGAAGCGGGAGCCGTAGCAGCAGCGGCGGCGGCGGCAGCAGCAGCAGCCTCTGCCTGCTCCTTCATCTGCTGCTCGTAGTAGGGAGCGTGGTACTGCTTGAGCGGCTCGCCCCAGATGTAGACGCCCGAGACGCAGCCGAGGGCAGCGGCGAGAAGAAGACGAGAAGAGGACATAGAGGTGTGCGAGTACAGCGAGAGGAGATAAAGGGTGTGGGTGATATGTGGGTGTAATCCAGAGTGGTGCGGTAAGCGAGGTGTGCGCGTCTGTTGAGGTCCCGTCCATGGCTTGGTTGGGCGTCAACGCGTCGTCGGCCAGAGAGGGAAGAGGGGGAAGAGGAAGAGGGAGAGGAAGAGGGAGAGGAAGAGGGAGGAGAGGGAGGCCAAGCCAAAACTGGTGTTTTACAAACGTGCATGGGCTCGCTCTACCGGCTGAGCATCATGCGGACGAACTCGTCGTAGTTGATCTGGCCATCGCCGTCGATGTCAGCCTCGCGGATCATCTCGTCGACCTCCTCGTCGGTGAGCTTCTCGCCGAGGTTGGTCATGACATGACGCAGCTCAGCAGCCGAGATGTAACCGTTGCCGTCCTTGTCGAAGACGCGGAAGGCCTGTATCCCCACCCGTGCACACATACACACACACACACACACACACATCACACAGCACGATCAATGATGAGTACCACCCTCTCCCCAGCCAGCCACCCACCCACCCAAGCCACCCAGCGAGTCAGTCACGTACCTCCTTGATCTCCTCCTCGGAGTCGGTGTCCTTCATCTTGCGGGCCATCATGGTCAGGAACTCGGGAAAGTCGATGGTGCCGTTGCCATCAGCATCAACCTACGCACAACAGTCAATGGCAAGAGTCAGTCAAGTCGCCGCAGCAACACACAGGTGAGTCGTCCACTCGTGCCACACAGACCAGACACACTCCCTCCTACCGCAAGACCACAGCAGCCAGTTGTGGTTGCTGCTGCATTACCGCGAGTGGCGTGGACGCATAGGGATGGAAAGGGAGGGGGGGAAGGGGGGGGGGGGGGGAACGTGCGCACGTTACCGCTTCAAGAAAACGAACAACGAGAAAAGGGACGGAAGCGGCAATGGACCGGGGGGGGGCGGGGGCGGGGAGCAGGGGGAGCAGGGGGAGGGGGGAGCAGGGGGAGGTAGTTGGGCTCCGTCTGTCCATTGGTCGGGGGTAGGCTTTGCTTCTGCCCTATGCACCGTCTGGGGAAGGTGTCCAGGGAGGGGGGGGGGAAGGGTGCCGGTTGGTGGTCGGCGGTGGGAGTGACGACGGGAGGGAATGGGGGCGACGGCGGAGGGTTTTGGGAGACGGGCAGGGGGGGGGGGGGGGGGGGCAGCGGTGGTGGTAGCGGAGGGAAGATGGGCCCTGGTGGGGGTGGAGGAGGATATAGAGGAGGGAGGGAGGGAGTGGGAGGCTGGGTAGGGATGCAGGGGAATGAGCAGGGGGTGTAGGGGTGGCTGGTGGGAGGGCCAAAAATTCGGCTAGCTTTGTCATTCGAAGGCGCAAGCCATGACGTACCTCGTTGATCTAGGGGCGTTGGTGGGAGGGGTGGTGTGGGAGGGTGAGTGGGGGGAGGGATGGGAAAGGGGATGGGAGGGGGAAGGTGCATGTAGTGCATGGTTGTGGCTTGGTGGGGACGGCCTGGTGGGCATGGGGGAAGCAGAGTCGGCGCAGGTAGAGGCAAGGGACACAAAGCCAAGCGGGTCGGCGCCAAAGGAGCTTTGCGCGCGACCGACGACGTACCATGTCCTGGAGCTCCGCCTGGGTGGGGTTCTGACCGAGCGAGCGCATGACAGTGCCCAGCTCCTTGGTGGTGATGGTGCCATCGTTGTCCTTGTCGAACAGGCTGAAAGCCTCCTTGAACTCCTGGATCTGCTCCTCGGTAAGCTGCTCCGCCATGGTGTATGTGTGAGAGGTGTATCGCTTACTTGCCGTGCCCGTCCGTTCGTTTCCTTGGCCGAATCCCGTGTTCGGCAGAATCAAATTCAGCTGTCATTCCTTCCGCCACCGCCGCTCGCCCTCCGCCCCCTTTTTGCCACACTTTCCCCCTTTCGCGAACAAAATCAAGTCGCTTGCGAAGGAATTGATTGCCTTTTTCCGGAATAGGCAAAGCGGGGGTGCACCGACCAAATTTGGGCGGGGGAGAAAAAAAGATGAAATTTTCCGTGCCGAGGCAACGAAAGAGTCACCAAACGAATGAGCGGGGGGGGGGGGGGGGAGCGGGGGGGGGTCACACGCACACGCATACACACACACACACACACACACATATCCATATATCGACACACCCACTCACACCCGTCTTCCTGGGGGACACATGTCCAGGCAGTCGCAACAAGGCTCACTTACTTCTGGCGAAGCACTCCTTGCCTTGCTCAAGCATAATGCTTCGGAAGCACCGTTCAAACGAAGCACTCTGTCACTTGCTCGGACACCGTCTGCGCATGATGTACTTCAAAGGCGACGAGCACGTCGATCAATGAGAAGGAGAGTAGCTACGGGGACTGGCTCACTTGCTCCTAGTTCGAGTGGTGGAAGTGTACCGAGTGATGCTGTCACTGCATCGCATACTGCTCATGATCATTCTCTGGCTGATGGTGGTGACCATGACCGACAAGATGGTGCTGGTCATCACGCCGTTGTGCCTGGCGAGACGGTGACGGGGCGGGCCATCTTTCCCTCCCACGAGACCATGCGGTCGATGTCACTCAACACGCTGTCGGTGCCGGCGGTAGAAGAGGGGTTCGGAAGCGCGAGCTCGATGGGCTCGACCCCGCCGATGTTCTCGGCACGGTCAACGTCGCGGTCGCCGGTCTCGGTCTCGGTAGCAACGGCAAGAGGGAGCACAACAACAGAGTCGGCGTCGCGGTCGCCACAGCCGCGACGTGCCAAGCACCGGCGGACCAAGCAGGCGGGCAAGGTCGAGGGCGAGACGTCGCGGTCGCGGTCGCGGTCGCGGTCGCGGTCACCACTCCCTGTCTTCTCGTCGTCGCTGAGACTGACGGGGCTCAACCGGTCGCACTCGCCGCTGTCGCCGCTGATGGCTGGGGCGGGGCCGAGCCGCGGGCGGTCGCTGTCTGAGCGGGTCGGGTCGTCGCAGCCGGCTGGGCGGGCGCGGTCGGGATCGACCCCGACGCCAACAGTAGGCGGCGGGGCCGGGCGGAGCGGGTCAGTGAGCGGCTCAAGTACTGCCGACTCTGGCCTCTGCTTTTCGCCGTCGGAATCGTCAGCGTTCTCGAGCGCGTTTTCGTCGGCCAAGGACGAGCTGGCGACGATCGGATCGGACGCGGTCTCGTCGGCCGCAACTGAGGAGTGGGCGGACGCATTGAGTGGGACTGAAGAGCCGGCGAGCTCCGATTGGGGCGGGAGCGCGGCAACAGACAGCCGGTCTGCGGCGTCGACGGTGTGCGAGCGTGGCGGTAGCAGAGGCGATCCTGTGACCAACGCATGGTCGCGGCACGAGGCGCGGCGGAGCGCGGTGCGGGCGGCACGCGAGGCCGACGCGGCGGCGGCGGCATTGGAGCGCGCCCGCAAGCCGCAGGCCAAGCCCAAGGCCTCATCGCTCAAGCTCAACGCGCTGCGGAAGAAGCTGCGGCTGCAGTCGCTCAAGGGCCCGGGCAAGCGTGCCGGAGGGAACAGGCGGCAGAACCTCTCGGTTGACATGCGGATGGGCGACGACGAACTAGAGCTGTTCGACACGCTGGCGCCGCTCGCGCCGCTCTCGACCTCGGGCCCGTCGTTTACCGCATCGAGCGGAGCCGGCGGCGAGGTGGTGCGGCGGCTGACGCCGACCGGCGGCAGCGTTGGCGGGGGCAGTGGGCAGGGCGCATCGCAGGCTAGCGTAGCGGGTCGAGCGGCCACGGCCACGACCGGCGGTACCATGTCGTCAACCAAGTCCAAGGCGCCGACGCCGCTGACCTCGCTGTTTGAGGTGGCGCAGGCGGCGCAGGCAGTGTCAGGAGGATCGGGCGGGTCGGCCGAGCTCTCGCCGGGGAGGGCGGGGTTGACGAGCTCGACGAGCTCAGAGCGACTGCGGATGCGGGCGCCGGCGCCGCTGGTGGTGCCCGGCGGGAGCGAGAGCGCAGACGGAAGCGTGGTGGCGCTCTCGAGCGGGATGGGCTCCGGCGGGCTGCAGCGGCTGGAAGAGAAGCTTGCGGCGCAGGATGAGGTGCTGCGTCAGCTGGCAGCGGCGGTGACGCAGCTGACGGAAGAGACGAGCGCGTCGCGGTCGAGCTTGCGCAAGCGATTCGCGGCGGTATCGTCGCGGATTGAGCGATCGGAAAAGCTGACGCAGAAGCTCTCGCGCGACCTGCAGATGCAGATTGACCATTCCGAGTCTGTTGTCTACTCATACTCGAACAAGCTGCGGCGTGTGGAGCAGGCGCTGATGGGGCGGGCGTCAAAGAACTCGACGATTGCCGACGCGCTCATCTCGTGGCTCATCTCTGTTGTTTTTATCCTCCTCTGGGTCGTCCGGCTCGTGTACCGGGTGCTGACCTGTTCATGGTGCCGCGGCAAGGGCGGTCCGCGCTGGGACTTGTACGATTCTCACGAGGCCGTGGGCGGCGACGACGACGGGGTGGGAGGAGGCGGCGAGAGTGACGATGGCGGCGGCGGTGTCGGCGGCGGTGGGTACTCTGCCGAGTTGGAGGAGGTAGAGCTCATGTAGATTGCAGTGAAGAAAGTGCAGAATGTGTGGACAATCACGAACAAGAGCATTTAGTTGGTCTTGGATGCCGGCTTGCGCGGAGGGCGCGGGCAGAGGAGCTTGGAAAGGATGAGATAGCCCCAGTAGAGGTTGAGAGCGCGGGAGAGGACAAGAAGCACGATCTCTGTCCAGAGGGCGTAGTAGCGGTACGGCGGCTGGAGGGCGCGCTCCGTGGCGGGATCAAGGAGGAAGGGAATAACAGTAGAGGTGATGCACGTTCCGCCGATGATGCGCGAGAGGAAAAAGGTGAGGGCAAAGAGGTTGGAGAAGACAGTGTGAAGAGCCGGCGATGCGCGCCAAAAGTAGCGGGCGTTGAGAAAGACGGTGGAGAGCTCTTCGATGAGGAAGAGAAAGTGATATGGAGTGGTGACGCCGGCGATGAGACCGATGGCAAAGCCGCCACCGATGACCAGATGGTGAATGACCGACTCGAGAGCCCAGACGTCCGAGTTGGTCATCATGACCACCATGTCCGAGACAAAGTAACCGACGGAAAAAGCGACAGCAAAGGGAGCGACCCAGTCGCCGTCTTCAACCACACCTTGAATGAGCCGATCCATAGAAAACATGTCCAAAGAGCAACTTGAAATCCACCAGATCAAGCCCGCCAGGCCGACCAGAGCATGGACGTTGGAAGCCACCCGCGAACGAAAGGGAGCAGACTTTGAGTCTGTCGTCGGCCACAAGGAGAAGACGCCAAAGTGGAGCACAGCCGAAGTACCCACCATCGCACAGAGCTGGTTCAGTACTTCAGCCTGTCTCGTATACTCGAAGAGGTACATGTTTGAGCCGAAAGTCAAGTCTGTCGTACAATGCCTATGGAGAGTGGTCGTAGCGCAGAGCGGAGTGGGGGCGCGGTGGACAGCGGGAATTTGCGGCGGAGAGGGAAGTGCGCCTGATACAGGGGCGATGGGGGAGGGGGGGGGGGGGGGGGGTTTGGATAGAGAGTAAGGGGGACAGAGTGGGTGGATGTGGTACAGTTGGCACTCGATCGATCGAGCGAGCGATGGAGCAGGCAAGAGGGCGCTCGATCAAGCGGGCGAGTGAGCGAGTGGGCGAGTGGGCGAGTGGGCGGGAGAGCGGGCGAGTGAGCGAGTGGGCGAGTGGGCGAGCGGGCGGGGGCGAGCGGGCGGTTAGTGGGCGGGCAGCGAGCCAACGGCAGCCAACCACCACCACCACCACCACCACCACCACCACCACCACCACCACCACCACCACCACCACCACACTCATTACAGGTTACTTGTAGTTGACCTGCCCCTCCTTAGGCCCCAGCACCTCGACCAGCCAAGCCAAGCCAAGCCCAGGACAGGACAGGACAGGACAGGACAGGACAGCCCAGCAAGACCAGCAAGCAGAAGGAGCACCCACCACCATGCGCCACAAGAAGCGCAAGAAGCGCAAGTCACCCGACCCACATGTGGTGGACCAGGAAGTGGCTGCTGATGACGACACATACAGGGTCGACCTTAGTACGTGTGACTTGTGACTGTAGGGGGAGGGCGGGGGGGGGAGGGGGGAGGGGGAGGAGGAGGAAAGGGCGCCAACCGAGGGGAGGGGGTTCGGCGGGTTAAGGCCATTGATCCGGCTACTGCTGCGGATGCTTGAAGCTATCGGTTCGGCGGGTTAAGGCCATTGATCCGGCTACTGCTGCGGATGCTTGAAGCTATCGGTTCGGCGGGTTAAGGCCATTGATCCGGCTACTGCTGCGGATGCTTGAAGCTATCGGTTCGGCGGGTTAAGGCCATTGATCCGGCTACTGCTGCTGACTGCGCCTGCTGCTGCTGCTGCTGCGCCTGCCTTCTCCTACTGCGCCTACTGTACCTGCTTCTCTTGCTACGCCTGCTACACCTGCTTCCCCTGCATCATTCCGATCCTCACTCACTCACTACTGGGACTCTGTTTTCTGTTCCGTAGCCATCACGGTGACCCAGGCACACAACCTCAAGAAGCTGCCGTCGCCGCTGTCGGCAGCAGCGGCTGCCAAGGGCTCGTCGGCCAAGGTCGGCTCGTTTGTCAAGTACACTCGGTTTCCGGGCTTACCCGAGGCCGGAACCGAGATGGTCTCGCAGGCCGTGTACGATGGCGTGTATCACCTGACGACGACGTTCACACACGTGGCGGTCACCGAGGAGCTGCTCAACGCGCTTGTGGCCGAGCCGCTCGAGTTTGAGGTTGTCGAGACGCTCAAGAAGCACAAGTCGCCGGTCGGCGCCGCCCGCCTCGACCTCGAGCCGCTTCTCCGCGGCGAGACAAGCCTCGCGACAGTGCTGCCGCTGGCGCTGGCCTCGGCACCATCCGGCGATCTCACGCCACACAAGGGCTCGCGCGCCGCGCTCCTCGCCGACTCGCCGACCTTTACCATCGGCGGGTACGATGATGATGAGAACGCGTACGACGACGGCGGCTCACCCGGAATGCGCGGCGGCGACGCCGACGATCCCGAGGTCGACAACATTCTTGGCGGCCGCCCAGGCCTCTCGGTCTCGGTCGCAGTCTCAGCGCCGCTCGTCGCGCCGGGCGAGTGGGAGGCCGCGCGCGTGGCCCAGGTCGCGGCTCCCGGCGTCTACGCCCTTCCGCCCGGCTGCATGCTCCCTTCGCCGGACGTCTACCGCTACGCCCTGGCGGTGACGCTGCCGTCGGGAGAGCGCATCCCGCAGCTCGTCATGCTTCCCGACTGCGAGGTTGTGGTCCCCGCCAGCGACAACGGCTCAGTCGACGGCTCGGACGCGCCGTCGTTCGAGTCGCTCGACTCGACCGGGCGCGTCCTGTCCAAAGCCTCGCTCCCGGGCGTCCTGCTCCCAGAGGAGCAGGCGGCGGTCGATGAGGCGGCACGCTACAAGCACGCCGAGCACGCCGAGCCGTACATCGACTTTTCAGTCCTCTCGCAGCGGATCTTCCTCGTTCCAGCCGCCGCCTCCAAGCTCCTCGCCCTCGCCAAGCACAACATCCCACTCAAGCTCGAGCTCCGCCGGACGCTGGCGCCGGTCCACGCGTCGGCTGGCGTCGTCGACCCGAACGAGGCTCGCTACGCCGCCGAGGCCTTTCTCTCGCTCGCGCCTCTGCTCGAGCCTGGCACAACCCGGCTCCTCGCGCGGGTCCCGCTTGAGCGCCCGCAGGAGCCTTCTGAGGAGGAAGCCGCCACCGCCGCCGCCGCCGCTGCTGCCGAAGCCGCTCCGTCGTCCAAGTCGGCGCGCCACACCCGCGGTGAGCGCGGCTCGCGGGCCAAGGGCTCCAAGAAGCGCGAGCGCGAGGCCAAGAACGCGCTGGAGCTCGTGGCCGAAGACTCAACCGCACCGTGGCCGTGGACAGCATCGGGTGGCTACGTCAAGATAGAGCTCCAGCTCTCGGCGCCGCTCGTCCCACGCCCGCCGACGCCCAAACCGGTGTACTCGGTCCGCGACTTTGTGCCGGCACGGCCGGCGCCAGCGCTTCCGGCACGGCCGCTCCTCACCGCACCCGAGGAGTTCAAAGCCGAGATTGAGGCCGCGACCGACGCACTCGTCGAGACCTATCGAAAGCTCTACGGCGAGCAGCTGCTCAACGGCGAGTTCTCCAACGCACCCGAGGCCGTCGAGGAGCGCAAGGCGCGGTTCATCTACGAGCTCAACTCGAACGGCGCATACTTTGGGCTCAAGGAGCAGCTCAAGGCTCCAGTTGTTCGCATCGTCCGCGAAAAGTTCCAGCGGACGTCGCCGTTTGCGTCCAAGGCTGAGACGCAGACCTTCCTCAACGATCTGTACATGTACCTCATCGACCGCATGCATGAGGCGCTCAATGGAGTCTTTTCGTCAGTCCACGAGATCCCCATCCCGACCACCGTCGAAGACACGTCTACACTCAAGCGCTACGCCGCCGAGGCCGAGATCAACGGCGCATACGAGCTCGCCGCCCGCCACTACCAGGAGCGCATCGCGCGGGCCTCGCAGAACGTCGAGTTCTGGTACGACTACGGCGTCTTTTGCCTCCGGGTCAACGACACGTACAAGGCCGACGAGTGCTTCCGTGAAGCCATCTCGCTCGACGACAAGCACATCCCGTCACTTAAGGTCTACGGCATGCTCTGCGCCACCCTTGACAAGTTTGCTGAAGCCCGGACCATGGTCGAGGCCGCTGCCGCCGAAGCCGGCAACGACCCAGTCGTGCTCGGCATGTTTGCTCTTGTCGTCGCCCTCGACGATGGCGACAAGGGTGAGGAGATGTGGGCTGCCGCCGAGGCCGCCTACACCGCCGCTGCCACCGCGCCCGAGCCCGCTGCCGCCGCCGCTGCCGCCACCGCCGACGACGAGTTTGACGAGCGGTCTGAGCCCGAGAGCGAGCTGGGCTCGGCCGGGTCGGCCATCGACGAGACGCCGCAATCCACGCTCGCCATCACCATTGCCCGCGAGCTGCTTGGCGTCCATTTGCCAGCGATGGCCGAGCGTGCCATTGCCCGCGAGGTGCTCGATGCCGGCATGCGGGCGGCATCGCCCGACGCCGCCGCCGCCGGCGAGCTGGGTGACGCCGGCGAGTCTGAGCTCGACGGTGAGCCGTCGTCGGCGGCGGTGACGCCGCGGGCTGGGCCGGGCTCTGCCGCCGGGGGGGACGACGATGGCGAGGCGCCCGAGGTGCTCCCCGAGTCTGTCGACGTCCTCCTCTGCCGGGCGGAGCAGTTTATGCAAGAGGCGGCATACGAGGACGCGAGCGAGGCGCTGACGCGGCTCTTCCTCATGGCAAACGAGCTCGACTCGGAGCGCGGCATGCGGCTCCACGCACTCTGGGGTCATCTCAAGCTCGTCCTGCAGGACTTTGAGGCCGCCGAGAGCGCGTACGAAAAGTCGCTGGCGCTGACGCAGGACGACGCGGCCGAGGCGACCGACTCGGAGGCTGCGGTCCGCGAGCTGCTCGCCGTCTACCTCCGGCTCGGTTCGCTGTACGTGACCAAGGCCAAGTTCTCGGATGCCAAGTACGTGTATCTCAAGGCGTGTCAGCTCTCGCCATCGGCGTTTACCTGGCTCGGTGTCGGCGTCTCGTGCTACCGGCTCGGCGAGCTCGACCAGGCCGAAGACGCGCTCTCAGAGGCCAACATCCTCAACAACTTTGATGCCGATGTCTGGGGCTACCTCACCCTTGTCTGTCTCAAGACCGAGCGCGTGACTGAGGGTGACCAGGCGTTCATGCAGGCGCTCAAGCTCGACCTCGCCAACGGGGCCCTCCTTACCGAGATTGGTGAGGCCTACTTTGAGGTTGGGCGCTATGCCGACGCCGAACAGTGCTTGCGCCGGTCGATCGAGCTCGAGGAGGCCCCACACGCCCACCGCATCCTCGCCCAGGTCCTCAACGCCCAGGGTCAGAAGGAGGGCGCCGTCGCCGAGTACATGATGGTCCTCGCGTCTTCGTTTGACGAGGAGGACGTCAAGGCCTCGCGCGCAGGCCTTGTCGACATTCTGATGCGTCTCGGCAGGGTCGAGCAGGCCCAATTCTACCTTGACGAGATCGAGCGCGAGCACGCCGAGGCTGCCGCCGTCAAGGAGGCTGAAGTCGAGGCTGCCGCCCGCGAGAAGCGTCTTCTCCAGAGCGAGTTTGAGTAAAACGACGCCATACGGCCCACGGCCCACGGCCCACGGCCCATCACATGTTGTCGGGCATGGCCATCCCTCATCGCATCAGATCCCCATCGTTAGGATCAAACCAAGTAAGTGGCGGAGGGTGGCGGAGAGTGACGAGGTTGACGAGTCCACGCAGCGAGTGGCGGAGGCGGAGGAGCGACACCACTTGTCGCACACGAGAGTGAGAGAGACCGTGTGCCACAGTCGGGCGAGGAGGGAGAGACGATGGAAGCTGTGAGTGCGGCAGTTGTGTTGAGACAAGAGACAGGAGATGCTGTTGCTATTCCAAGTACCACTGACCCTACCGTCGTCCGTCTCTTGCCTATGTTTGCCTTTGCCTATGACTCTGGTCGACCTGAGCTGACTGAGCTCATGCCGACGAGACTGACTGACGGCAATGACGATGGTGGCCACAATGGCAACGATGGCGGCAATGACGATGGCGGCAATGACGATGGCGGCAATGACGATGGCGGCAATGACAATGGCGGCAATGGCGGCAATGACGATGGCGGCAATGACAATGGCGGCAACGATGGCGACAACAATGATCGTTGCGGTCGTCAGCTTCGTCGGCTTGGCCAGCGGGCGGCTACAGTGGATGATCTGGTGGGGAAAGGGTGGAAAGGCTTTGGTCGGACGCCGCAGATGCTGGAAAGAGAGCATCTGTATGTGCTTACCTCAGAGACCGGATCTCGGCTGCATGTGCTGTTTCGCAAGCTCGATAGCAACTCCATCCTCGCCCTCCTTTCACCGCATCGCATGTACCGGATGCTGGAGCAGGTGGCAGACTTTGGATGCGAGGTCTACGCCCGCGGCGGAGAGGATGCGCTTCTGGCGGCAATGGCAGCGGTCGTCGGCGCGCTCCCTGTTCCCCCGACACAGACCACTGTCGGGCTCACGGTTACTACTCGGGTTGGATGCGAGCTCGCGCTCACTGTCGACTGCTGCGACGAGACCCGGCTCGGCCCGCTTCTCGCCGCGCTCGCTCCCTGCGACGTGGTCCATCTAGTGACCTGCATCCTCACGGAGACACCGATTGTGTTCACAGCTAGCTCGATGGCGCTGCTGCCGGCGGTCTCTGAGGCGCTGCTCTCGCTGGTGGCGCCGCTGGCGTGGCCGTTTGTCTACATTCCCATTCTCCCGCCAGACCTCCTCGACTGCGTTGAGGCGCCGACCCAGTTCATCCTTGGCGTCCTTGACTCGGCGCTTGCTCACAAGATCGCCGCCGAGGGCGTGGTCCTCGATCCGTCGATTGTTGTTGTCGACCTTGCACACGGCCGGCTCAGAGCCCGCCAGCCGACCCGCTACTGCGGTCTCGCGAGCAAGAGGGCGGCGGGCCTTGTGGCCCACCTCCGCGACGCAGGCCTCCCGCGGTCGATCGCCGACGATCACGCCATCCGTGCCGTCTTCCACGACGAGCTCGTCGACATCCTCAACGGCTACCGTGACCACTACGTGACTGACACGAGCGGGAGCGGGAGCGACGACGGCAACGAGCTGGTGTATGACTTTCAAGGTTTTGTCACCTCGCGCGCGCCTCGCGACCGCGGCTTTGCACACGCACTCACCAACACCCAGATGTTTTACCAGTTTGTGGCCGATCGCGAGGCAGTCGATGAGGTCAACGCGCCGCTTGCACCGCTTCGACTTGACTTGCATGTCGCTGCCGGGTGCGGCGGCGATGCTGGCCGCGACGCTGCGCGCCGCGCGCTCGTCTCCAGCCTCGCAACTTATACCGTGCCGCAGGCCCAGCTCCTTTCGCACCTCGCTGTGCTGAGCCTCGAGGTCTCTGAGGCGCACGATACCTCGCTTGTGACGCCCATCCTTTCCAAGCTTGAGCAGCTCGCCGCCGACGTGCCGGCGCTCCTTGCCAGCGGACACGGATACACGGCCGCGAGCGTGCTTGCGCCCCTCTACGCTGAGCTCAACGACAGTCGCGCGAGCGAGCTCGACGTCTCAGCATCGTCCGCAGGTGGGCTCGGCCTCGCTGGGCCGAGTACCACAACGTCGCCAGTGTCGTCGGTAGCAATGACGCTCTCCACGTCCAACGGGCTCAAGCACGTGCTCAACATCCGCGGGGTTGCGGCGGCGGCGGCGGCTGTGGCGCTGGCGACTCACCGCCACGAGATTGACGGCGATGCCCACAGCGGCACGGCCGGGCTCGACGACTCGCTCGAGGCGCTGCCACCCATGCCAGAGCATGGAACGCCTGTCGCACTCGCGGCGTCACTAGTCCGACTGCTCATCGGCATGTTCAAGGGCGTTTGCACGCCCGAGCCAAGCACCGGGCGGCTGACGCTGACGTCGGCGCGGCTGGTCTCGCGAAGCTCGGGTGTAGCCAAGTCCGGCTCTTATACCCGAGTCTGCCAGCTCACCGGCAAGCTTGTCATGATTGCCGACGACGAGCTTGTTGCGCTGAGCCACGACGAGCGTGCGGTCTTCTTCCTCAACCTCCACAACGCGCTCGCCATGCACGCCTGCATCGCATTGCGAGCGCCGACGTCGTCGGCCGCGCGGGCAGCGTGGTCCAAGGCCGCGTACCTCGTCGGCTCGCAAGTCTTTAACCTGCTCGAGCTCGAGCACGCCGTCCTCCGTAACGCATCGGCGCTGCCCTCGGTCCTCGGCGTCCCCTTTCTCCCGTGCCCCAAGTTCAAAGCCGGGGACGCCCGCGCTGCGTTTGCGCTCTCGGCTCCGGTCCGCTTTCTCGACTTTGGCCTCGCTGCAGCCACGCGATCGTCGGCTCCGGTGAGAGTCTTTGACGTGCCCAGCTACCGCAAGGCTCTCCGCGCAGCCTTTGACGCCGAGCTTGCTGCCACGGCTCCAGTCCTCCCGCGAGTCCTCCAGTGGTACGGCCCCGACTACCACGGCGAAGATATCCTTTCCGGGCGGCTAGGCTGGGCCCGATACGACTGGAGCTTTGGCTTTTGCTTCGAGTCTGATCTGTGGTCCGCTGCCCCGTAGTTGACGTAGCCCGAGTCGACGTGTCTGTTGAGGGCTGGCGCGGGCGATGCTCGCGTCTGTGCCGGTGGAAGCAGCCGCTGCAGCAGAGCTCGCCAGACGGCGCAGTGCTTTGCGCGAGCTTAGCTTCTGTTTACGTAGCCAAAGGCGATGCTGGCGCCTACCAAGCCGACGACGACGGCGAGAGCAACAAACGACCACTCGAGGCCGACGGCATCGGCGACCGACGAGACCGAGAGAGCACCGACGGCGAGGCCAAAGTCGCGAATGGCGCGGTAGATGCCGAGAGATGAGCCGCGCCAGGCCGGCTCGACTTCGTCAGCAGCCGCGGCTTGCATGGTCGGATAGATTGAGGCGGTGCCGATGCCGAGCAGGACCATGGAGAGCGACCAGAGGATGATCCGGAGCGGGAGCCAGGGGGTGAGGTCGGGGGTGGCCACAAAGAGCAGGATGGCGACGGTGTTGGCGGCCATGCCGCCAGTGAGAAAGAGCTTGCGGCCGTAGGTGTCGGAGAGCGAGCCGAAAGCGAGCTGCGACAAGCCCCACGCTCCGGTGTAGAGGCCAATGATGAGGCCGGTGGCGGCCAGCGAGAGACCGTGGCGGGTCTCGAGGAACTCGGGGGCGAGGCCCCAGATGACGGCATCCTGGCCCTTGCTCACCAGCCCGCAGACAGCCACCAGGATGAAGTTACGGTTGGTGGCGAGGCCGAGAATGGCACGGGTGACGGTCGGCGAGGAGGCGATAGCGCTGGCGTTGGCGTTGGCGTTGGCGTTGGCGTGCGAGACGGGAATGAGCCCGGTCTCGGCCGAGGTAGCGGGATCGATGGAGCCCATCTCGGCCAGGGGCACCTCCTCGACAAAGCCAGCATCATGAGCAGCATCTAGAGTTGCGCCTGTGGCGGCGGCCTGCTGAGCAGCGACTAGATCCATGGTGTCTGTGACAAGGAACGAAGCCGCGAGGCCGATGGCACCGACGAGAGCGCCGATGAGAAAGGGGATGGGCCGATAACCGTAGGCGTCAGCAAGCGCAGCGGCAGCGATAGAGACTGTAGCAACCGACGAGTAAATGGTACACTCCGAGATGCCAACAGCAGTACCTTTTGCGGAGAGACCAAAGACATCGACCATCATAAAGATGAGGGAAGAGCCAATGAGGCCCTGAGAGACGCCAAAGAGAACGTTGACGACGACGACGAGCGACCACGATTGAGCGAAGAGAACGACGATGGGAACAGGAAGACCAAGGATCATACCTGCAATGAGAGTCACACGTCGACCATACCAATCAGCAAGTGGACCAACAATGAGATTGGTTGCAGCCTTTGCGCAGCCAAAGGAAATGATGAACATGACCTTGCCCTTGTAGCTCTCCTCACCCCACACAGCCGATGCCATGAGAGGGAGCAGACTCCGTTCCAGTCCCAGCACTCCGCCCATCACCACAAGTCCCACAAGTAGTGGCGTCAGTCGCCTCCACCGCATTTGGTAGAAATCCCATGCTGCCGTCACCCTTCTCCGAAGGTCCATCCCTTTGTGTGTGTGTGGGGGGGGGGGGGGGGGGTGGGGGGAGGGGTGGTGGTGGTGCTGTGGCGGAGGGAGGATCGGGGAGGGAGAGGAGGGAGAGGGGGGATCCGATGGGGGTGATAGAGGGGGTGATCCGATGAGGTCAAGAGATGATAGAGGTGATAGAGGAGGGGGGAGGGAGTGGTGGGGGGGAGGGGGGAGGACGGGGGGCGAGGGGACGAGGGGACGAGTCGGTCAACGACGACGACGACCACCACCAACCACCACCACCACCACCACCACC